GTGTGTGTGTGTGTGTGTGTGTGTGTGTGTGTGTGTGTGTGTGTGTGAAAAAACAGTGATAGGGTCACATGGAAGAAATAAGGTTCTGGGGACTCTGGGAAAGTAAGTACAACTAGGATTAATCCCAGTTTACTCTGGTTTGTCACCCAGGGCAAGTAAGTCACCTAGCCTCAGCTTCCTCACCAAAAATGGAATAATCATTTGACCATATATTACAGAGTAATGATAAAGTGCTCTGTATACCTTATCTAGCTCTTGGGCCAGCTATGTTATTTTTGACACTATTAAAAAAATTCACTGGGCAAGTACTCTTCTCATGTGATCCTGACAACCCTTTGAGGGAATTGGCACCACTGAGAGGATTGGAAAGAGACAAGATTTGAACCTAGATCTGACTCTAAAACTTTTTCTACTTCCCTTGCTACTTTTAAGATATCATGGCAGTGACATCTGTTTCCAAGTTGCTAGGAAATGGATGGCTCAATTTTTGGACTTGTCCTATCCTAGATATGGGCTTCTCCATCTCATTCGATGAGATCTCCTCTCCCTTTAGCATGAGAAAGCTAGGCTGTCTGGAAAACCCAATAGTATTTCTTGGAGAGCCCAGCACATTGATCTCCCTCTTTCCTCTCTCAGCACTCACATCTCAGATAATTCCATCTCAGGTAATTTCTTTTATGACAGTAACACATTATTTTTCTTCCAATTCTTGCCCAATTACCTCAGGAAAATCTTTCCCTCCCCTTCCATCTTCCTTCCATTTGTAAATCAAAACAATGACTCTAATCATGACTATGGAACATAAGCAGTTTGAGTTGGCTATAACTGTCACAAGGAAAAGCAAAGAAAAGAGGCTGGACAAAGACATGCTTTGAAGTGAAATCAAACAACATATAACCAGGATCATTAGTCTATAAGCCCTTAAAATGTCCAGTGACTAGTGCCCTTCACAATCTCCATGAAAATCTCCCTCTTTCCATATATCTCTCCATCCTCCTCTAATTAAACTTGCTTTCCTCAAGCACTAGCAATCAAGATAAATTAAACCCTATTTTTTATTCAACATTGTTTCCTGTTTTGTGTAACCTGCTTTTTCCTCAAGCACCAGCAATCAAGATAAATTAAACAGTATTTTTTTATTCAATGTACATTGTTTCCTGTTTTGTGTAATTACTAGGACTGAACACAGTATTTTGTACATTTCATTGCAAATGCAAAGTATTTCCACTACATTATGGGTTAAATAGGTTTTGTGGGCTGGCTTGGGAATCAAGCCACCAATTTATACATCATTTTTTCTATGGGAAATGCAAGTGAGTTCCAAACATGCCAACCTACAAATGAACTTTGGGAACCTGACCTGTTTGCAATTTGGGGACTGCCTCTGTGTATATCACTGCTTTGTAAGGCCTCTAAATGGGAAGCTAGATCTTCCCAGGTCATTACCACCAGGCCACGCAAGCAACCTTCCAGAGTCTGTGGAATCCAGACTGTGCATTACACTTTCAGGTTCCTAAGAGGGGCAGGAAGGGAGATTCTCCCAGGATGGCAGAATTTGGGCAGCTTCTGATGCCCTGGAGGAATCAATGGCAATGGGGCCGATTCTCTTGCCATGATTGCTCAAAGTCACACATTTTTAGCTCTACCAATCAATTACTTCCTGTGTGGCCTCTGGACGTGTCACATAACTCCACCCACTGAGTTTCAGTTTCCTCTATAAAATGAGGGAATTGGACTAGAATCTAGTCAATCAGACTATACCTAAGGTCCGGTCCACCCCATCCAGCTCGAAGTCGATCCTCTAGGCTGTTTGGAATCTAGGGGGGAAAGCTCTACTGGTCTGAGTGCTACAAAAGGGATGTCTGAGAACCCAGTCCGGGGCAATAGGAAGGTGGTGCATGGGGGGGTCACACTGGGGAGCCCTGCTACTTAGACCGCTGTGTGACTTCGAGCAGAAATGCCTCTCTCTCTGGACCTGCGACCTCAGAGGCTAAGGCTGGGCAGAGAGCACGCGCCATGCAGGCGAAAGGCGGGGGTGACGCCGCTCGAGGGACAGGCCTCGAAGAGGGCAACCGCCACGCGACCATAACTCCCCGCCGGGCGGGCGCCACACGTTCCGGAGCGTTAGTCACCCTTCCCAGGAGGCGGTTAGAACTGCGGGCCGCGCCAAATGCAGGGGCAGAAGCCGAGGGGCCCCTGGCCACTCCCTCCCCCACAACGCCCTGGGGCCCCCAGGGAGAGCCTCCCCCAACCCCCCGCCCCCCCACTGGCGTCCCCGTGCCATAGCAACTGTAAGTAGGAAGGAGACAAGACTGATAAGGGCAGCCTGGGCCAGTGACTGGACAAAGGCCGAAGTGACCCAGCCGCTTGCCCTCAAGGAGCTTACATTCCCCCTGCGCCCCCTGGCTGGCTTTTCAATTTCATGAGTTCCTTACAAATTTTTGAATTTACTCCCAGTGCACATTACTGTACACTGGGACCAGGCCTTTGGATTTCTCTGGCAAAATGATGCTCCTGAACTGCACAGTGGAAAAGGCGAAATGGCAAATAAGTGCCCCATTTAGGCAGGTTCTTGAAAGTCCCAAATCTGATAGCCGCCCAGCAATAAACAGTTATACTTCAGGCACAAGTACACCCTCAGCTCTTTCTACCCCAGCCACCCACCACTTCCTAGTTTCTATGTGATCTCAAGCAAGTCCCTCCTTCCTTGGACCTCAGTTTCCTTTTCTGCAAAATGAAGAAGTTTGACTCTCCAAAGGCCTTTTCAGCTTTAAATCTGACCTGTTCTGAGCCTGTCTACTCACTCGAACCAGTTCCTTTCTTTCAGACATCTTCTTTCTTCCCACCTAAGGTCCTGGATATAATTCTGCATTTGTAAATATCCAGGTGTCCTTCAGATACTTGGCCCAAGAAAATTAAAGGCCAAAGGAACTGAACACCCCAGACAGTACTCATTACCAAAAAGATTGTCGACTCACATGCAGTAGCCTTGACCTTTAAATTAACATGAGAAATGAGAGTGAACATAAAAGCTCTCATCAGTTGGAAAAATGATTCATTATGAATGAGTCTCAATGGACATAACCTTCTAAATTAAAACTGCAGTAGTTTGCCTGTGAAACCCAATTCGTCTGTGAAAATATCACAGTGGTATTGCCAAGATGATTGAAAATGGTGAGTTTTTATATCACACTCTGCCATTTGCAGGGACAGGGGAGACATGAATTTCTAAGTTAAAAAAATGAAAAGGTACAGGGAGAGAAGAGGGAGAATGAAAAACTATGAGATTAAAATAGGAGGAAAACAACAAATATTATACTCATATTGAATATATTTAGTGATTCTTCCCAGAGTAGTGAGTATTACTCTGTAAGCAGTTCACTCAGCTGGCCACACAGTACAGAACTAATGAGGCCCAAGGCTACGTTTCAATCCCCCATGGGCCAATGAGCTGTCTCACCCACAATCCCATTCACCTTCTGTTCCAACTCTGGCTGACACCATCCTGCATAAATAAATGCCCACAAACAGGGCACCCACCAGACAGGGCATAGGCCACGCATGTGTCACCTCTGAGCGGCAAGCCCTCTTGGACAAGGATGCTGTTACCTTGGGCTCTTTAATAATGAATGTGGACATGTTGGAATTGGCAAGTGATATAGACAGAGGTTACATACATAGATATAGATGTCATTCTCCTTTAATATACTGCTTTGAGCTTTTATTATTTCCTTTCCAATTCTTCTAGAAAATGGGGCTACAGGAGAAGATGAAAAGGTAGGGAAAGAAAGTAGACACAGCATCAGAGCTGGCAGCCAACTTTACGGTCTTCTTGTCTAGCTCTCTCATTTGACAAATTTATGAACTTCTTAAGATTATGAATCTTGTCTTAGCTCCCTTACCTTGCATGTGTAAGTGTGTGTGTATCTCTGTGTATTAGATCCTTGATAAATTCTTGCCAAATGAAGAAATTGAAGCCCAGAGAGGGTAATAACAATAATTGCTAACATTTATATTCAGAGGCAGCTAGGTGGCACAGCATATAGAACTCTGGGCTTAGAATCAGGAAGACCTGAATTCAAATCTGATCTCAGATATTTACTAGTTGCGTGTCCCTGGGCAAGTCACTTCACCCTGTTTGCCTCAGTTTCCTCATCTGTAAAATGAGCTGGAGAAGGAGATGGCAAATCACTCCAGTATCTTTGCCAAGAAAACTCCATGGACAGTATTGGTGTGATATGGCTCACAGGGTCAGGAAGAGTTGAACATGACTCAACAACAACAACTATGTGCCAGTTATTGTGCTAAGTACTTTACAATTATCCTCTCCTTTGTTTCTCAGAGCTCTAAGGGGGTGGGGGGATAGGTGCTATTAGTCCCATTTTGCAGATGAGAAAACCGAAGCAAAAAGGAATTAAGTGGCTTGCCCCAAGTCACACAGCTAGTAAACTGAGGCTGCATTTGAATTCAGGTCTTCCTGACTCCAGGCCAGGTGTTCTATCCATTGCCCCACCTAGCTGCCCCCTGGTTACACAGCTAGTTACTGGTGGCAAAGTTAAGATAAGAGGCTAGGTCTCCTAACTCTAGTGTTCTTTTCATTACAATGCATCGGCTCATTTTCCTAGTTAAAACTCTTGGGCTTGAGTTTACAAATTTTAGGGTTTACAGAGTGGGCAGTTTTGATTCATTCCTCACCAGCAGGCTTAGCCTAAGACTACTACCTTGTACTTCAAATCTTCAAAGGTCTGTGGTTTCATGGATGTGATTCCTCCCTCCACTGATGCAGATTGTGGCCCCTTTATCACTTTGTAGGTGATGATGTTAAGTTGTGGCGGCCCCCATAAAACCATCATCCAGCCAACCTGGTGCTGAGCCTCCTCAGTGGACAAAACACAAGTCCATCCTCAAGGTCAGTCCCAGTCAGCAAGCATTTTCTTTTGTTGTTATTGTTGTTCTGCAATTAGTTTTATTTTTTCCCTTATTTTTATTATTATTATTTTTTAGTCCATATGTTGTTTATTTCAATAAGCATTTCTTAAGCACTTACATTCAGGCAGTCTGCTAAGCACTGGAGATACAAAGGGCATTGTCCCTGCCTTCCGAGCTCGCGTTTTAGTGGAGGAGACAACACAGGACCTATCAGAGCTTGCATTCCAATGTCATCAGTTGTTATTGTTTAGTTGTTTTAGTCGTGTCTGACTCTCTGTGACCCCATTTGGGGTTTTCTTGGCAAAGATACTGGAGCAGTTTGCCATTTCTTTCTCCAGCTCATTTTACAGATGAGGAAACCGACATAAAGAGGATTAAGTGACTTGCCCAGGGTCACACAGCTACTAAGTGTCTGAGGCTGTATTTGAACTGGTTCCTGCCTCCAGGCCCAGCACTGCAGCACCACCTAGCTTCCATTGTATCTAATAGCCACACAGGCTGTATACATTTCCCAGGGGCGGGGGAGGCCCCTTTAAGAGCCACTTCGCAGTCTAAGATCCCATATGATGTCACACCTCACATCAGCTGTTTGACCTAACCATGTCAAAGCCCGGGCTGTAGCTAGGCTGGAAAATGTCTGTTCCACGCATGTGAGTTTTCCTTTTAATAAGAAAATTTATGACATATCGATAAGTATCGGTTACAGAGTCTTTCTCAGGTTATTTGATTAAGAGCCTAGAATGGTTATCCAGGGGAGGTAATGGTTTTGAAGCACCGTTTTGCTATTTTGTCCAGAAAACAAAATCTGAGCCCTCTTTGCCCCTCCATGGTGAGCTGGCTGGGTGATCTTGGTCAGTTATTTAGGTACTCTCTGTGTTTCAATTTCCCCTTTCATTGAATGAGGTCCATGAATCCTCTTTAGTTTTCGAGAGAAACAATATATTGTTCAGAAAAACTGTTTTGAAAAAGTATAAAGTATACAAAGGTTCCAGAGATGTGAGATTGAATATATAATTTTCTGGCCTTTAATAGTCACATGATTAATTTCCTGTTAAAATGTATATGGGGAGAAACTATAAAATAAACTATTGTCTCTATTACTACTTCTCAAGGTTTCCTTGGCTTTTGTTTAAAATAATAAAGATAATCTTGGCAATGAGTTGTTGGATCAACTGTTCAATAGAGCAAACCAGCATGATCTTTGCTGACCAAAAGCGTGAGGAAAAAAGATGTGAGGGATAATAGCTGCTTTGGGTGAGGGGGTGCTATTGTCAGGGAAAGAAATGGTTTTACATTGTTTTAACATAGCTAAAAAGGACACAAAAACAAAGTCAAAGGCTGTGTGATTGTAACAACCAATCTTGGTCTACATAAAAGATGAAAACATTCATATTCCCTTTCCCCCTTATCTTGAGGCAGAGGGGGCCCATTGGGGTAGAATGTTACATACCCTGCTAGGCAATGATCGCTATGTTTTGCTCAGCTGTTTCATTACCAGGATAGGTGGAGGGAGGAATGAAAGAGTACATTCAGAAGGAACTATGTTGTCAAAACAAAAGGCTGATCAAGAAATGTTTTTGAAAGGATTCAAATTGAGGGCCCCCCAAAATGAACCTCCCAGTTGTCATCAAAAAATATTTGTCTTTCACCTAAACCTTAAATATCTCAAGTTCTTTCCATGGCATTCAGAAATTAGTTACCGAGAGAGGGCAGATTAGGGGAAGGGGTATTCAAAATGCATGCCATCTTGGGGTGGGGGGAGGGATGAGATGGGGAGAAAATTTTGAACTCAAAATCTTGTGGAAGTGAATGTTGAAAATTAAAAATAAATAAATTAACAAAAAAAAAGATTTAAAAAAAGAAGGAAAAGAAATTAGTTACTGAGGTCCCAAAGGCTGGGCATATTGCTTACCCTTCAAGGCCTCAGAGGCATAGCGCCTTTCTATATCCTTTCTAGTGACTTTTCAGGAGTTGCTTCCCCAAAGGCCTAATATAAGGAGCACAGAGGAACAATGAACAAGGGGAAGCTAGTAGAAGAAAGAAGAGGGCCTCTTTAGTCAAGGTCATAGGGAGGGGAAAGGGCATTCATTGGCTGGGGAGCAGAGGGCATGAAGGACCAAGCTCAGTACTAATGAGACCTGGAGAGATCAAGGCAGAAGATGGGGCTGGACTGCAGTCTTTATGGGGTAACCCTTGACTATAACACATGATCTGAGGATAAAAAGAACTCAGGAAATGGAGAGAAAAAACAGGTCAGGCAATCTTTCCAAGGTGGCCTTAAATCCTGAAAGAGTCCCTTGGGTTTTCAGAAGTGCATATGGTGCCTCCTAGCTAGTACCAAGCCTGACACCTGTGCACCTCTGGGTGGGCTCTCTCTCTCTCTCCCCTTCGCTGAGTCAAGCCAGATCCTGAAGCCCATGTGTGTGTCCAGGCTTTCCAAGACATGTACTCATGCATGAGGCTACCATACAAGGAGAAACTTCTTTGGCTCCTGGGTTAGGATCAAGTCAGATGTGGGAGAAGGCCCTGCCAACAAACTGGGCAAGAAAAGCAAAAGGATTCAAGTGGGGGGGCTTACTGGGCTAATTGGGAAGGAGTGAGGGAAGAAAGGAGGGAAAGAAGGAAGGAAAGATATAAAGGGAAGGGAAGTAGATGGAAAGAAGGAAAAATATAAGAAAAAAGAGGCAAAGAGGAAGGAAGCAAGGAAAGAAGGAAGCGACAAAAGAAGGAATTACATAAACAAAGTCAGGGAAAGGGGATGGAAGGAAGGAAGAAAAAGGCATAAGGAAAATGAGATAAAGGGGAAGGAAGGAAGGAAGGAATAAAGAAGGAAAGGAAGGACTTGGAGGGAATGTGGAAGGAAGAAAGGAAAGAGGAAAGGGAGGGAAGGCAATTGGGAAGGAACAAACGGGAGAGAAAGGGGCAGGAAGGAAGCAAGCAAGAAGAGGAAAGAAGGAAAGAAAGGGAGAGAAACGGGGAAGAAGGGACATAGAGAAAAGGAGGGAAATGGGGAGAAAGGGAGGAAGGAAATAAAAACAGTGAACAAAGAAGGAAGGAAAGGAAGAGGGAAGGAAGGAATGATGTAAAGATAGAGAAGGAAAGGTGAAGGAAGGAGAAAAGGAAGAAAAGGAGAGAGAAAGGGAAAAGAAAGGATGAAATAAATGAATGAATGCAGGAAGAAAGGAGAGAGGGAGGGAAAGAAGGAATGAAAGAGGAGAGGAAGTAGAAAAAAGGAGGAAGGAAGGAAAGTGAGGAAAAAGAAAAGAGAGGGAGGAAAGGAAAGGAAGAGGAAGAGAAAAGGAAAGGGAAGGAAAAAAGGAAGGAGGGAAGAATATAAAGAAAAGGAAAGGAAGGAAGGAAGGAAAGAATGACATAAAGAAAGGGAAGGGAAGGAAGGGAGGTGGGAAGGAATGAAAGAACAAAGGCTGGAAAGAAGGAGGGAAAGAAAGGGAGGTAAAAGAGAAGAAAGGAAAGAGGGAAAAGCATAAGGAAAGGGGAAGGAAAGAGGGAAGGAATGAATGACAAAAAGAAGAAGGGAAGGAAAAGGAAGGGAGGAAGGGAAATAGGAAAGGAAGAGGGGCAGCTAGGTGGTGCAGTGGATAGCGCACCGGCCCTGAAGTCAGGAGGACCTGAGTTCAAATCTGGCCTCTGACCAAACACTTGACACTTACTAGCTATGTGACCCTGGGCAAGTCACTTAACCTCAATTGCCTAAAAAAAAAAAAATAGGAAAGGAAGGATAGGAATGCTTTGGAACTCAGGCTAGCTTTGCTTTTACTTGAATGTATTTTCAGTCTTTGCATATATCATCTCCATCATCATAGCTCAGAATTCTATAGCATTTTCAG